TAGACTATAATGGGGAATCACTTAAATACCTATAACTTTGTCATTTTTTTGAAAACAGCAGGGATGGTAGCCCCTTCTGAGGGCATGAAGCCTGACAAGTTTCAAGGAGATAGGTGCAGTGGTTCTGTGAAAGTACACCTCAAACTGTTGAAAGCAAAAGTCATATCACTTGTGTGTGTTAAGACAGAGCGGGATGAAAACAGCAGGGAACTCAGAGAAAGATCACTGTCATTGGCCAGCTACAGATATCAATATCAGAGCAGTCTTTCCCCTCTTTCAGCCTTTTCCATATATGGAAGATCACCCCATCTCCCCCCTCTTATCAGTTTCTGTTTGCTGCAAGCCTTCCTAATCTCTGAATCGATTTGGAGGCTTTCGATTTGATTTGGACCGTTTAATGGGTCTCCTGATTTGATTCGGATTTGGCTGCTGAATTGGGTTGAATCTCCTCCGAATCAAATCGGCTACTGAAGCTTCGCACAGCCCTAATTTCCCTCTAGTTTTGGTGGCCATAGATTTGCAAGACAGTGCAGAGCTTTGTCTACTCTTGTAATGTTTGTACCTGCCAGGAGACTCCTCCATGCAGACTCCTCCAGCCCCTTCCCACACCACCTTAGCCATGGTCCACAGTCTCCCTGGACTTCATCTTAGAATTATCAGTCTCAAAGTGGTGCTCTATGATCCTGACCATAACAGATTGATTCACTAAAATGACCCACTTTATCCTATGCATGGTCTTGGAGCAGTACCACAAGTGTTATCTCAGTTTCCAACAGGACAACTGGCTTTCACTCCTAACACTCACAGGTTCACCTACAATAACCTCAAGCATGCCTCAACTGGGCATGTAATAGATATAATAAATATAGTTTTATTTTTCTGTTTATTGCAAAATTATTACAGCACATGAAACCTTTAGGAAATCATGTAACCTTTAGAGTAAAAATTTACATTTGTATCATTAAAGATCATGTAACCTTTAGATTTCATGGACATTAGGGGCTGGAAGGGACCTCATGAGATCATTGGGTCCATCCCTTCCCCCCTCACCCCCCGCCATAGGCAGGAAGTCAGCTGGGATCAAGTGACCCCAGCAAGAAATAAATCCATCTGTTTTTTGAAGGAGTCCAGAGTAGGTGCTTGCACCACCTCTGTGGGGAGTTTGTTCCAGACCCTGGACACACGTTCTGTAAAGAATTTTTTTTTAATGTCTCGCCTAAATTGGCCTTCCTGGAGTTCATGGCCATTAGACCTTGTTATCCCTTGGGGAGCTCTGGTGAACAGCTGTTGTCCCAGGTCCTGATGTACCCCTCTTATGAAGTTGTAGGCAGCCACCAAGTCCCCTCTGAGCCTTCTCTTCTCCAGATTGAAGAGTCCCAAATCCCTCAGCTTCTCCTCACACAGCCTTCCCTCCAGGCCTTGGATCATACGAATGGCTCTCCTTTGGACTCAGATCAATCATATAATCTTATGATGGAAATATACTTTGCATTCAACCTTTTTGTTTTTATAAGTTAAGATTCCATTCTGTGTAAGATTCTATGTGGTCTTATCAGAATTATATTTTAAGTTGTTATAGGTCAAAGTTACTTTTAAGTTCTATAAGTAAAAAAAAATGATTTTGTTTTTATTTTGTATGAATGTGGTATGCATGTGGTTAGGCAAGAAAGGATATGGAAACTGCAGATACAGATGGAAAGAAGAGAGAGGAAGAGGTCATCCCTGCAGACCCAAACAACTGAAGATGTACACAGATAAGACCAATGTGAAGAAACCAGCCCACAATATCCAACCGCATGGAACATTCAATGAATAGTGCAACTGATGACAGGGAAAACTGGAATAATGACAGGTACACCTGATGCAGGAGACAGCTAGAATAATATGGGTGAAATTTAAAAAGTCCTTGTGTGACTTCTGCAACAAAGACAGAAGTATTGGTATACGTGTCCAACAAATGTCTGGCTCCGTTCATCCTCGTACTGAGTTTGCTTGGCCACCAAACTAAGTCGAGCATCTGAACCTGGTAACATCTCAATGTCTGCTGAATGATTTTAGCTGCTATTGTATGTGTGTGTATGTGTGTGTGTGTGTGTGTGTGTGTGTCTATGTGTTTATTGTACATATATAAAAATATAAGGTATCATTTACATATGTTTCTAGTAATACTTAGTTTGGTTTGATTTTGTGTTTTCTAACTTTATCCTCTCAATAAACATGGCCTATTGTCTTGTCCCTCTGATAAAAGTCCTGCTTGGTTTTTTTTATACTCTATATGCGATAGGCATATAACAGGCAAAGCCCGTTTTCACCAACTATGGGGTCCACCCCTCACTACATCCCATCTTACTCATCAGCTTCAATAATCCCAGGGCCATGGATTGCATGCACCACATACACAAGATCCAAGAGGAACAAAAGCACCACTTGGAGAAGGCAAAAGAGGCCTATAAAGGACAAGCAGACCAGCACCAAGGCCTACTTACTTCATGGATGAGAAAGTGTTGTTATCAACCAAACACCTCTGCACAGACTGGCCCTCATGGAGGCTGGACCACCGCTTCATCAGCCCCTTCTGCATAACCTGTCAAATTAATCTGCAATCTTACAACTCCCTTATTATAGGTTAATAAGTCCCAAAAACTTGAGGAAGCAATGAGTAAAACACAGCTGATTACAACTCCAAAACAGATATGAACGAAAAAACAGGGCCTGCAGATACACGCTTATTTTTCAGCTATTTTGAGGGCTTATAACTCATTTAATGGGTCTTGTTGTAGGCCCTAAGGGGCCTAGAGTAACCACCCAGAGGCCTTCAGGCCTGCATTTTAACTTCGGCATTTAGCAAAAATTGTGCTCAGCTGCAGATTTGACCTTGGTAATTAGCATAAGCGGCATACAGTTGCGGACTTAGCAACAAGGCTTGGAATGTGATGTATACTTGACCATGACCTATTTCCCAGCAAATGGAGGAGGAAGTTTGAAAATCCCCTGTCTAGGTCCAGGTGAGCTTTATCAAAACAAGAAGTTGGCTAATTAAAATGAGGGACTTTGACTTGGAAAAAGGAACAATCAGTTGCAAAACTTACCCCCAAATAAAGAATGAAAAAATTACCTAAGAATAGAAAATTTCAGTTAAATTTAACCATATGTAGCAAGTGAAAGCAAGCTTATTAATATGCATTATAGGGAATTGCTTAAGTTTTGATAAGAAATGTGGTAACTATAAGGTATATAAGAAAGAAGACATGAATCCCACCTTGGAAAACACTCCTGAAGACCAGAAAAGATCCAATCATTGATCCTCTACCATGTGCAAAAATCAAATGTAGGAACGGGGAGCCCCAGATAAGACCTCACAACTCAATCAACCAGTGATATTGCATGTGTTATATCTTGGGGTGGTGAGCACGTTGTATTGCTTTTGACCAACTACAGCATTAGAATTGTAACTGCTGAGGATGCTGTATGTTTGATCTAGAATTTTAATTGTTAGGGTTCAATAAATTTGCTTATAGTTAAGGACAACTGTGTCTTAGTCTCCATACCTGGTACATGACCTGTAATAGCATTACTGGATGTAACACTGGCTTAATAAGTTGGTGGTGGCACTTGAAAAATGTTTCAAGGTTCTTAACAAAACAGAGATTTATTTTTTTCCTGAAAAATGTGGAAAACTACTTCTATCAGGCTATGGATATTCATGGGGCTTTAGAAAACCTGTTATCTGTATGAAGGAAAGCCAATGATGGCAAATGCATACTATGACTGGGGGCGCTCCTTCTTTTAATATATACCTAGTCTTCCTGCTCCTTCCTGGGTAGCCAGTTTCTTCACTTTATTCAAACTAATTTGAGAAACATATCCTATGCCACACTTGGCTACGTTCTGAGGACCTATTTTAATTTCGGGTTTGATGGTAAGTGTTAGCCTAAAATAAAGGCCTCTTGATATAATTAGCTTGACTCTCATCCTTGCAATGGGAGTTGTGTATGTAAAATGCAGTTCTTGCTAAGTCGGGATGAATTAAGGATACTAAGAAATTGGTTAAGCACAGAAAAACAACATATGGTCTTGGGCAAATAGAGACCCTCTAAGGAAAGCCAAACCATATGAGAAACAGCTACAATGGTTGCTATAGAAATGTGTGATGTAAATAAATGGCCATAGAAAAATGTGTGCGCTAAGATAAGAAATGGAGTTATGTAAACAGGACAGGTATAAAACTGGGAAGTAGCCATGGTTCAAGGGGAAGTCCACTCTGAAGACCCTCAACATGAATCCTCAGACCAACAAGTCTACGCTGCACAGAACTTAAACATAAGAGTTGGTAGCCTCTGGACAAGATCTCATGAACTGATCAATCACTGATGTCATGTTTGTTATTTCTTAGAGTGGTGAGCATATATGTTAATCGAATCATATTGCAATAAAAGGTATCCATATTATTTTATATTTGTATTAGTTCTAAAAGGGTGCGTCTACACGTTGCCTTACGGTAATGCTGTTACTGTGGTGTGCTTTAGTACTTCCTTTTGGGTCTACTTCCAAAAGGAAGTACTAAAGCTCAGCACAGTAACTACCTGTACTGTGCCGTACATGCAGTGCATGGTTATTTTTAGCAGCTACTTCGCCATAGCAGCGAGTGCACTCTCGTTACATGTAGAAACCAGTGGATGCTACATCACCGTAGCACTTCGCTATGGTGACGTAGCATCACATTTAGACACCCCCAAAAGGTAATAAACTTTGTCTTTATGCTAAGCCTGATTGTCTGATGAGTTTCCTTACCTGGTAAAAGGCCCATACATTGAGAGGAAATTCTCATTGTTTAATACAAAGACGTAACAATATATAGCACCCCATCCCCATTCTCAAAAGAGGCACCGCTTTTCAAAAGAGGCTATGAAATATGCCCCCTGTTACTATTACACCTGATGTACAAGTGGCCAAGGAGGCAACACTAAACAAGACTTTGAACCATTTCTGTCATATGGGGCACATTGATTTATTGACAGATTAAACAAAACAAAGTAGTAAGATACAGTACATGTGGGATGAGTAGTTTTGCTTGGCAACTTTGCTGGCCAGGTGCAGACATCAGGCCAGAGGGCTTCTGCACACCTGCATGGTGGTATCTTCAGTTTCCAGTACCCAAGTTGCTCTTCACATAAAGGAAATGAAAAGTATTATATATGAAGTTGTTTTCTGTCATCCAATTAAATTCTATCTTTCCTTATTTGCATTTTAGTTGATTTCTTTCTTGCTCATGTTCAGCATATATATTTTTACTATTTCCTCATAGCTTGCAGTTATTTCTGTTTATTTCCTCTTTTTCCCCCCTCTTGCCCCTAGTCAGCAAATCAGCAGGCTTGTTGCAATTATAAGAGGGTTATTTACAGATCAAAAAGGGGCACCTAAGGGTGTTAGTTCTCTATAAATCTGCCAAAGCTAAAATCTCCCCATATGTCTAGACTTATGCTATCTTAAATATAGATTCTTCCTCCTCCTGTGGCCAACTTAAACCTCCACATGATTCCTTAATGTGACCTTAACTTATGCTATTTCAAACATCACGTTAGTCTATACATAATGCTAATCAAGCTTAACTGTGGCCTTATAATTAGTTCTATAGTTTTGCTGTTTAAAGGAGATTACCAAACTTAGTTAACTGTTCACTATAAAGTAGGTTTATATGCAGTGGTTTATTACCAGTTAGTTTTATTCTGTAGTTACATCCTCATACATCATGGGGGTCCCATGAGAACCTGGGACTCCACAGCCCACCTGGGCTATGTACTAATTCCTGTATAGCTATCATCACAGTTTTGCTTATTTTAAATCCCAAAGACTTCTGGGGATGCAGGTGAAGCTTACCTATCACTTGGCAAAGCAAAATGAGACAGGTGTATTCTAGTGTGTCTTGATTTCAGCAGTGAATAAGTTTATGTGGTGCTGTCTCATGGGATGTAACACAATTTGTCATACATGATGGTAACAATCTTGTTTTCCCTGTGAAAACAGTCAGGTATGAAAAAGTCCTCCACAATCTTTACAATGTCGAAGTATACAATGTATACACCCCCATATACAATGTATAAACACAAGTTGAATCCACCAATGATATCTGCTGAGAAGGGGAATTTTTTTTATGCTGTTCCCTGGGAGTAGCCCTAAAATGTTGGCTAGTTCCCCTGGTAGAAAAAGTGTAAGATCCACTGGCAACTCTAAGTCTAACTTTTCCACTTACATGTTCTTAGACCATAACTTGTTTGGGCAGGTTAGCACTGTTGGTGGTAATCTTGTTCATATAGTTTACAAGTCATTTATTGATAAATAATATCCCTTCAGAGTGAGCTATGTCCATTACTTGGTTCCAAAACAATTCAAAAGGAATGTCTTTATTGACTGTGTTTCAACTGTGGTGATATTGTATTTCCACTAACCCTCCCTCCCCGGTCCTCAAGAGATGCAGAGGTTTAATAAGTTGTATCATAAAGTTTGAGCCGCTTTTCTGAGGGAACATCCTGATGCAGGCTTTAGTAGGCAAAGTAAAAAAGCATCTGTGTTCCTTTTCATTGTTCCTGTCTCCTTCAAAAAAAAAAGCAAGTGCTAGTTTTACTTCTTTATATTACAGATTTCAGAGGCTTCCATCCAGCTGTTGGATTTGGCAGGCCAGTTAAATCTATTTGTCAGGAAACATTTTTTCTGCCCTTCCCTTTCTCAGGCAAAACTATTTAAGTTTTGTGAACCCTGTCCTGTTTTGAGTTAACTTTTTGTAATTCCTCAGGGGAAAAAGGAGCTAGTAATTCTCTTTCAAATGTCATCTTTTAACTTGAACAGACAGATCTCTGCCCTATGGTCATAGCCTCATCCACTATGAAGAGTTCCTCAGCGTGTCTGCATACCCTCTTTATTACATTTTTTGACCATGTAACAAAGAGGGTGTAAATCCCCAAAGTTTCCAACAGAGCCAGGATCAGAATAAATCTTACTTAAAAGAGCCTTTTCTTTAGACATCTTGCCTCCTTATTCAAGAAAAACCAGCATAAATATGTACATTTTCCCATGCACCCAGATACTTAAATGAATATGTAAAGTATTATCAGGTATCAAAATCATGGCTTGCAAAAAAAAAAAAAGAGAGAGAGAGAAAGTGTTACCAGAGGTGAGGTCAAACTAACAGGCATAACCATTGGGCATAATCATTGACTGGTGCCACCTTAGTTTCATAGCTGATAGGGTCGGAAGGGACCTGAGAAGATCATCACGTCCAACCCCCTGCCAGGAAAGAATGCTGGAGTCAAATGACCCCAGCTAGGTGATTATCTATCCCCCTTTTGAAGACTCCCCAGGGTAGGAGCGAGTACCACTTCCCTTGAAAGTTGGTTCCAGATCCTAGCTGCCCTGACTGTGAAGTAGTGCTTCCTGAAGCCTAGCCTAAACCTACTCTCAACTTGTGGCCTGAATCAACTTGTGGCCGCTATTCATAGGTCAGTTGTCCGCCCCCCTCAGCAACCAGTCAGCGACCCGGGGCGGGGGGGCATCCCCCCCATGGCCAATCCCACTGACGGGGGGCAGTCCCCCTGCAGCCAATCACAAGGCCGTGCACCCCCGCGTACTGCCTATGCATCGCCACTGCCCATTGAATTTTAACTCTACTACCTTAATGACTCAGCCACTCCAATAATTACCAGGAAAGGGGACAGTATAAGTACAAAGACTAAGTCAGAGGCTGTGAGATATGACCCCTGTCCTATCACATAAAAGGCCTATCAGGCACATACACATAGCAACAAGAAAATTAGGGTATTAAAGAAGTACTTATTAAATATGTAATGAAAATCTTTTACAACACGAGTGACCGTAACCTGCACAAAAGAAACCGAGTAAATTTCATCCAACCCTTATTCAACATTTTGGCCATGATGCCTCCAGTGGTTGTCCTGCTCCTGCTTCATTCTCACTCTCTGGTCATCCTCCCTTTCTTCCTACCTGCTACCCCTTGATGTAATTAGTTAACTTGGGAAGAGGAAACGACCCCATGATCTGAGTGAGCCCTTCCCTACTGACTGATCTCTAATGCAATAATTGTCTTAAGGGCTGATTTTGTGGCCTCCTACAGCCATACCCTTGCCTTGCAGGCATTACCATTCGATCCATCCCCCATCTCCTTGCCAGCTCCTGTTGCCTTGGCCCACAATGCCTGACCTCCACACTACAGTCCTCGGTTCATCCTTTGGGCCCTGGCCCTGGCAACAACTTGCTACAGCTCTGATCTTGCCCCTTAAGGCTCAGGATTCACTTCTCCAGGGCTCTAGTCTCTCTCCTCAGAATTTGCCCCTCCAGGGTATTATGTCCAATGATGCTACAGGTCTTTTACCAGGTATGGAGACTAAGACACCATTATCCTTAACTATAAGCAAGTTTATTGAATCCTAACAGTTACAATTCTAAATCAAAAGTAAAATATCCTAAGCAGTTACAATTCAAATACTGTAGCTAGTCAAAAAGTAATAAAATATGCTAGCCACCCCCAGATATAGTGAACTCAATATCACTGGTTGATCAGGTCATGAGGTCTTGTCTGGGGATCCTGACTTCTATGTCTGATGACTGCACAGGATCTTGGATTGGTGACCAATTCCTTTCAGGAGTGTTCTGGGAATAGGTTTAAATTCTTTTGCTTATATACCTTATCATTCCTATGCTTTTTTATCATATAATTAGCTTAAGCCATTGCCTATAATGTATATTAATAAGCCTATTTCTGCTTGCCGTTTATGATTGACCTTGACTAAAATTTTCCAGCTTTAGGTACTTTTTCCTCATTCTTAGTTACGAGTTAGTTTTGCTACTCATTGATTCTCTTTTCCCAAGCCAAATTTCCTTATTCTGGTTGGCCAACTTCTTGTTTTGATTTTGGCCATCTAGATAGGGTATTTCCAAACGTCATCCTCTTTGCCAAGAACGGGTCACAGTCAAGGTGACCCTCATGTCAGATCTTGTTGCTGAGTTGCAGCTGGTTAAAGCCAAGGCTAAATCTGTAGCAGAACATGCTTGTGGTTATGCTAAGTACCAGAATTAGAAACCTATGCCCAAAAGCTTCTGGGTCCCAACAAGGGGTCTGGTTTCACCTCTCAATGGCTCAGGATTCACCCTGGTCTCACCCCTTGAAATTATATTTGCTTACAATGGCTTTGTGCCCTGCTTTGAGCACTGGACACCTTGACCCCATCTCCACACCATTCTGGGCTCTCATCCGTTTTAGCTCTGTCTATGCCCTGCCTTAGATTCATAGATTCATAGATGTTAGGGTCGGAAGGGACCTCAATAGATCATCGAGTCCGACCCCCTGCATAGGCAGGAAAGAGT